ACACACACACACACACTGTGGGGCCAACATACGAATACTGCTGAGCTGGTCCATCTGCGCGTCATTATTAGCCAATTTTCATCATCACACACACTGTATACATGTCAAGAAAAGGAACGCTACCCAGTGAACGCTGTGACAGCAAATCCTCAATCCATCCCTACTGGAGAAGATAGTCGAACCACATAAATGAAGCCGGCTAAATGGGGGAAATCTTTGCTATTCCAGGACAAAAAAAAATCCTTAACATCCAATTGTTATCATCCTGCAATAATCCACTCCTGGATTCTTCCTTATGCCGCCGTTGTCAGTGTTCCATTCCTGCATCCACAATCATCTGTTTGCAGCCCGCAGATGGAGAGAGGTGACCGTTCACATCCTTAAAGAGCATCTCCCTCCTCCTCCTCTCCCTTCTCCCTCTGCTCCTCCACCACCTGCTTCCCACCCTCGGCCAATCAAAACTAAGCCCCGCATCTTGCTGTTCTCCCACAGCCAATCGGAGCCCAGAGTGCAGCCGATTGGCAGCTGGGTGCAAATAGCTGGTGGGGAGAAAGGGAGGGGACTCTGAAGAGGGGGGTGGGGGGGTGTATGAAAGGTGATGAGCCTTGAGAAAAGAAAAAAAAAACTGAGGCCGCCATGACACACCAGCAAGTGCACATATAGATATAAAGACGCATACATCTCCATCCTTTCTCCTCCCTTTAATTATGTGTTTGTATGCAAGAGCGCGCGTGTGTGTGTGATGGGAGTGCAGCACTCAGCAGTGCAAGAAAGGTGAAAGAAAGGGAGGGCCGGTGAGAGGGAGGAGGGACAGAGAGAGGGAGGAGAGAATAAAGGAGGAGAGGAGGAGACAGGGTTGAATGAAGAAAAGGAGGCGTATATCATGATTTAATTTGAATTTAATTAGCAAAAAACCAATTGAGTTACGTCTAAAATCTTTTTTCAGGGTTAGGGTTATTGTGGTAGTTTTTTTCAAAAAATACTTACAATTACATGCAAATTCGATCCATCTAGATTAAGACCATCTGATTTTAATTGGGAAGTCTCTATTAAATATTGTTTTTATTTTTGGTTCTTCTGTAACTGTTTTTTTTATGATTCATTTTCCTTAATTCATTTTTCATTTTCTCTAAAATCTATTTCTTTTTGTGTTTTGTGGCTCTTTCCTTATTGCAGGCCTGCCTTTGGTATTGTGCTGACATCTACTGGCTCCACAGGGTACTGCAGCTCCACAAATTGGCCAGATTCCCTTCACAGTTTGTTTGTTGTCAAACCAAATGAAACTGCGGGAAAGGATGGTGTGTGTGTGTGTATGTGTGTGTCTCTGTGTGTGATGCCAACCTGGGGACGCTGGTGAGGTAGCCGAGCACATTCTGGACTTCCTCTTCCTCCAGCTCGCTGAACTCTGGGAATTCTGGGAGGATGATGATGGGGCTGCCATTCATCCCGCGTCCGCCTGGAGACACAGAGGTAAGGGGAAAATGGAAAGAGATGAGGCGGTGTCAGCCTGAGGTTTTGGCATGTTGGTGATTTTACTGACATGAAAATATATTAAGGCAGGTAGGTAAACTGGATCAAAACCTCGCTTTTTCACCTGATAAAATGTAACACGTTAAATATTTCACACATAAACTGATCAAAAATAGTGTATGTATCAATCCTAGGAGTTTTTTAAGGTACATCCATTTGGGTTCCACTCTATAATTAAAGACGTAATGATGGCCCTTAATGTAAGAACTTCCAATAAATAATTCAATAACTGAATGGCCGTGGACATGCAAAAACTGAAACAAAAGTACAAAATCAAATAGGGCCTCACACGCACATACACTCGGCTGTCTCTTTCGTTGCCGGGGTCGTGTTGCAGAGCAAATCAACATGGTGATGAATTATTCACATGCTGTGTCACTGGTCAGGCATTATCGTCATGGAAACCAAACACACAGGGCCCAACGTGTGTGTTTCTGTGCGCAACAATGTTTGCAATGCATATGTTTTGGGTTTTTTTCATGTTGCTTTGTGCATTTCTATCTGCAAGTGGTTGGTTGTACAGGCATAAATAAGGGATTGGCGTTTGGGTGGAGTCAGATGACAGTAATCCTAGAAAGTTATGTCCATTGCAATGGATGGGGGATCTGAAGGGCTCCCAAAACATATTCAAACAGATAATTCTCAAATGTGCAGAATAATCTTTGAAGTGGTGCCACTTTAAAGTCTGTGGACTGGGTAGAAGTGGAGCTATTTCTGGAATCCGGATGACAAAACTGTGTTACATGTACGGTAAATTTTCCTGCCACCAAATAGACACACTCAACTTTGATTTTAGCTCCATTTTTGTCAGTATTTGATAAAAGAAAAAGTGGCCCAAACTGTGGACTGCATGAGATTATGCTAAAAATATCCACAATGCAACAGGAGTAATGAGAAATCAAATTCAGAATCAAATAAAACCACAAATAAGACTGTAAAGAGTGTAGGTCTGTTACATCATGTTAATAACCCCAATTTGATCCATCCTTACATAAAATCCCCCTTTACTTTATTGAATGTTTTTTGCACCAACAACTCCAATCTAATCTAAGCCTATCTCGAAACAAACACAGATCTATTTTGAGTTACTAGTTCGTCCTGAACTTCATCACTTTACTTCACTGTAAGTCTAACACAATAATTTAACAGAATTACATTGTTTCATATAATTGCATTTGTTAAGTTAATTCAAAATCTTGGGTCTACTTGGACTTTTAATTATGTAAAAATGTAGGGAAAAAAGCTGCATCTAGCAAACGTTTGTCTGCGGTTATTTTGTTAAGCCATTTGAATAACGACTATATTTAGTATGTTAAGGAAAAAGACCCACAGATATTTTTCTGATGAGGTGGAAACACAAAATCAATTTTACTGATTTCACATATTTATCATGCCTTAATTGATCAAATTGAACAAAGTTGACTCTCTTTAAAAAATGCAATACATTGGATCAATATGTACAATAAGGTCAATGAGCACATATTATTAAAACTGAGGTTGTTCTGAACATAATTGTACTAAGCATCTGTATAACACCCTATAGTTTTTGGGATACAGCCTTTTCTATAATCTTTTTTGTAACAGTCCAGACTGTGTGAATCAAAGAAGTAGCAGACTATAACCCTGGTTCACGCATTGCCCCCACATCCACACTGTGTCAGGAGGGACAGATATCACACTGACCTGGCAGGATGGCAAACTGTTTCTGGAGCTCGGAGCCAATTTCTGCTGCACACAGAGGACCATCCTCCCTCTGCAGGATGTCATCTGAGGAAAAAGAGAGAGAGAAATGGAGATCTATTCATCAAACTCTCTACACACATCCTTACTACTTATTATCACACCATAAAGCTTGTTGGAAGTTCGCAGCTCTTTGCAATTAAAGACAGCTGATTGCACTTCTGAACCCAGAGCTGAGCAACTGAATAGGCGGTAGTTAATGTGCCATTTATTCCCGTTGGCTGACGAGGTTCAGCGACTGTTATAAAAGGTCAAATGGTATGAGACGACAAAGATGAAGAAGAAAAAGGAGATGTTAAATGAGGCTGTTGGGGAACAGTGTGGCTGATAATGGAGCCAACAATCTAGTGTGACCCACTTTGGTCTTTATAACCAACAGCTGACCTTTTTATTACCAATACATGTAATTCAATCAGGTTTATATAATATAAACTTGTTGGCTGTCTATTGGTGTCCAACTATCCAACAACCACTGCCTTGGCAACCTTTCTGAGCCTCGTTGTTACAAAGTAATACACTGTTAAGCATGAACTGGGACTATATTGATTTAAGGAGTGATTACTTTCTTGAAGTAAGGAGGGAAGATGGAAATAAAGAGGAGAGTGAAAGGGAAACAGAGGAGAAAGGGAGGAGGAAGGGAGAAAGCGAGGCAGAGACACTAACACGGGATGAACTAAACAGCATTTCAGCATTTGGATTCTCTCTGGTCAAGCGGGATTACAGTAATCTCATTTAGCCCTCCGAGACACGTAGAGACAGAGAAATATAGAGACGGAGAAATACAGAGACAGAGAAAAAGCATCCCCGCACCACCCATTTGGTTGCCATGTGTGACCCATGTGTGCTAAACACAGGGAGAATTGTTAATTGTGTACGATCACGTGTCCATCTGTGAATGAAAGCTGAGAATTTTTAGTGTGTATAAAGGAGCATCGCCGTGACGTGCGCGCGTGTGTGTGTGTGCGTGCGTGTGTGTTTGCTGCATATAGACAAAGGCTGGCGCTGAGACTGGTGTGAGGGAAGTGTGGCGCTGAGGTTTCCAAGCAGTATGGTCGGGCTGGCAGCTCAAGTCATTAATTACCATGCAAACCAAGCAAACTGTTCCCAAATCCCCCCACATGAAGATATAAAGACAGCATGCTTTAATGTCATTGAGAATAATCTTTTTGAGTGTTTGACTGTTGAAGAAGGAGAAATGGACAGCTTGATCGGTGGACAATAACACATTTTAAAAGCTCTACAGCCTTCTCTAAGACTCTCAGAAGAGACAGTTAAGGTCAATCTATAGTTTATCTAACCTTTTGACAATGTTGAATGTCAGGTAAGCAGATGTGTGATGTGGAAGCCTGCCGTGCACATTCACTAAGAATGAATTTTTCAGTCAAATAGGAGAGGAAATTAAACTTTCAAATAAACAGTATTCACACATTCATGCAGATTTATAGCTTATTATAAAGACGTGTGAACTGACTTGGACCCAAAAGACTAAACAAGACTAGGTTGAAACCTAGTACAGTATATAGCGGGACTGTTTAAGGTCAATGTGCTCCAGAGGATGTGATTGAGGACTGTCCACGCCTATTCATTTTGAAACAGCAATGCAAGATTGACCTTTTGCAAGATTGCGGTTAAATAAAAGGCTAATGACAAAAGGGGAGACCAAAGCAACCCACACAACACACAAAGGCCACACTAAAGCATTGTAAGTGATCATCCAGATAGCATGCTCTATTACAAATACAATCTTTGCGGAGGTATTCTGCAAGAAATCTGCATGTTCTGATGTTTGTTAGTCGTTTCTTTCATTGATATTGGAAGTCTGTAAACTGTGGCACTGAGCACGCTGTTACGTTCTTCAGCAGCTCCATATGATGAAGAAACCTGACAGATTAAGAGCTTAGATCCTCGTTAATGCACGGTGTGTATTAAGCATACCATTGGCTAGACAGTGACTCACACCACACACTGTAGGTCTCATGTCTCCTGTGTAGTCCGCACTTAGCACAGAGCAGCATGTGTGAGAGGGCCGGCAGCTGCTGTTCTACAATGATTAAACAGGCAACACAGAACACATGTAGCTGCGGTCAGGCAGGAATCTGTTATAGTGGAGGTGTGCAACAATGACTGGCGCGCGCAC